AAGTATCATTCAATTTTTAAATCAGGAATTTACAGTCCACACATTCATTCTCTACCGTTTGGTCCCTGAGCGGGGTAACGGAGCCAATCCCGGCCGGCAATCGGGTGAAGGCAGGGTACACCCTGGACAGGTCGCCAATCCATTGCAGGGCTAACACATAGACAAACAACCACACACACGCACATGCACTCCTATGGGCAATTTAGAGACACCAATCAACCTAAGCTGCATGTCTTTGGACTGTGGGAGGAAGCCGGAGTACCCGGAGAGAACCCACGCAAGCACGGTGGCACAGTGGTTAGCGCCGTTGCCTCACAGCGAGAAGGTTCCAGGTTCGGGCCCCACCTGGGACCTTTCTGTGTGGAGTTTGCATGTTCTCCCCGTGCTATAAAACAATGTTTGGTCTAATTTTAGGTTTATATTTTTGTGTCCTATGGGAGGGTGGGAATGATTTCTGCAGAGCTGGATAAGATTTGAACCACTGGGTAGGTCTAAATAATTTTATTACCAGTGTATTACACATGCAAAACCATTTGCTGTTAATATGATCTGATCTGGATCCTTGAATCATCAACATTTTGCTTGGTCTTCCTTAATACCCTTCAGTTAACAGACAAAACAGACATGTTATGCTGATCTTATAAAATGCTTACCAACTTTGAGAAGGATCCTTGAATCATGAAAGTTATGTGCTTACATTTTAAATTCTGAAGCCTGGTTCCCGTGAGACCAACATACTGTAAAGAGTCAAGGTGGAGTGACTGAAATGAGGCCTTTACTCTGTTAAAGAAAATTTCTTTGAACTTGTTAATGTTGAGTCGACCATTGAAATGACCCTGAAATCAGGCCAAGCAAAACACATTGATACAGTGCCTTGCGAAAGTATTCAGCCCCCTTGAACTTTGCGACCTTTTGCCACATTTCAGGCTTCAAACATAAAGATATAAAACTGTAATTTTTTGTGAAGAATCAACAACAAGTGGGACACAATCATGAAGTGGAACGAAATTTATTGGATATTTCAAACTTTTTTAACAAATAAAAAACTAAAAAATTGGGCGTGCAAAATTTATTCAGCCCCCTTAAGTTAATACTTTGTAGCGCCACCTTTTGCTGCGATTACAGCTGTAAGTCGCTTGGGGTATGTCTCTATCAGTTTTGCACATCGAGAGACTGAAATTTTTGCCCATGCCTCCTTGCAAAACAGCTCGAGCTCAGTGAGGTTGGATGGAGAGCATTTGTGAACAGCAGTTTTCAGTTCTTTCCACAGATTCACGATTGGATTCAGGTCTGGACTTTGACTTGGCCATTCTAACACCTGGATATGTTTATTTGTGAACCATTCCATTGTAGATTTTGCTTTATGTTTTGAATCATTGTCTTGTTGGAAGACAAATCTCCATCCCAGTCTCAGGTCTTTTGCAGACTCCATCAGGTTTCCATCCAGAATGGTCCTGTATTTGGCTCCATCCATCTTCCCATCAATTTTAACCATCTTCCCTGTCCCGGCTGAAGAAAAGCAGGCCCAAACCATGATGCTGCCACCACCATGTTTGACAGTGGGGATGGTGTGTTCAGGGTGATGAGCTGTGTTGCTTTTACGCCAAACATAACGTTTTGCATTGTTGCCAAAAAGTTCGATTTTGGTTTCATCTGACCAGAGCACCTTCTTCCACATGTTTGGTGTGTCTCCCAGGTGGCTTGTGGCAAACTTTAAACAACACTTTTTATGGATATCTTTAAGAAATGGCTTTCTTCTTGCCACTCTTCCATAAAGGCCAGATTTGTGCAGTATACGACTGATTGTTGTCCTATGGACAGAGTCTCCCACCTCAGCTGTAGATCTCTGCAGTTCATCCAGAGTGATCATGGGCCTCTTGGCTGCATCTCTGATCAGTCTTCTCCTTGTATGAGCTGAAAGTTTAGAGGGACGGCCAGGTCTTGGTAGATTTGCAGTGGTCTGATACTCCTTCCATTTCAATATTATCACTTGCACAGTGCTCCTTGGGATGTTTAAAGCTTGGGAAATCTTTTTGTATCCAAATCCGGCTTTAAACTTCTCCACAACAGTATCTCGGACCTGCCTGGTGTGTTCCTTGTTCTTCATGATGCTCTCTGCGCTTTAAACAGACCTCTGAGACTATCACAGTGCAGGTGCATTTATACGGAGACTTGATTACACACAGGTGGATTCTATTTATCATCATTAGTCATTTAGGTCAACATTGGATCATTCAGAGATCCTCACTGAACTTCTGGAGAGAGTTTGCTGCACTGAAAGTAAAGGGGCTGAATAATTTTGCACGCCCAATTATTCAGTTTTTTATTTGTTAAAAAAGTTTGAAATATCCAATAAATTTCGTTCCACTTCATGATTGTGTCCCACTTGTTGTTGATTCTTCACAAAAAATTACAGTTTTATATCTTTATGTTTGAAGCCTGAAATGTGGCAAAAGGTCGCAAAGTTCAAGGGGGCCGAATACTTTCGCAAGGCACTGTAAAAATTACTGCAGGTAGTGCAATGTAGGCCTAACTTCACAAAGGTTTATTCAGCTACTGTACAATGCTGACAAAATACTAAAGTACAGCTAAAGCTTATATATGTAAGGCTCCTGACAAAGGATCTCCCAGTTCTCCCAGGTCATTTTTCACAGAAACACCTTTTTATATTACAGTCCACACCACCTTACTGCACCAGGGAGAGTTTCAGTTGCTCCCCTTAGGAGACCGTAATTTTATTACTTGACCCGGCTACACATACACCATGTTTATATCAAAAGCAACACACAAAAGACATCAGGACAGGGCTGAGTCATTAGCATTTCACTAACAAAGATAGGTGTTTTTATAGTAATAATACATTTGGACTAGGATTATATTTACATACCCAAACTTAGATTCAAGACAGTTCACAATAGTAGCTGTTGATTCCTGCTACATTTGTATTAATGAAAAAAGGGATTTTGTATTTCCATAAGTGGGGTAAAACTATGGAGTAATTTAAGTGTTGACATAAAAATAGTAATAGAATTGACCAATTTAAATATAAATATAAAGGTATGTGTCAAGCAAGACATATGCATAATCAGGCTAAATGATTAATTAGATGGAATATTGTGAGTGGGGTATATGAATGTTAACACCTTGTAATAATTCTTTAGTACACTGATATAGAGGAAAATTGATAAGGAAGGTAATTGTGTAGGAGTGTTGACACTGTTATAATTTTTTGTTTGTTTGTTGGGTGTGGTAGAAGAGAGTTGTTTACTGCTCGATAACCAATAATGATGGGGTAGGGCTGGATAAATCTTACTTCTTCCTCCTCCATTCAAGCATGTACTGGGTGCAGGCAAATTGAGGAAGGACAGGGAATACTCCAACTTTAATAATAAAGAGGCTGACGGGTGTTGGTATTCAACCCCTGGTTCGCGGACCTCTGAGGCCGACAGACGGCGGTCCGTTGTATTTCAGCCTGAGGAAAAGGAAAACAGGTATTTAAAAAGCTTAAAGAGGACAGAACCGGCCCAGGAAGACATCTATAAGCATCAGAATGTCAGATGCCTAGATTAAACAGACAGCTTGTTGACTCTGAAGAAAGAGGTGCATTACTTGATAATTCTAATGTGTTAAATATGGAGAAGAGCCTCAATAACATAGAGCAGAGACTTGGTAAGGTAA